GTCTCATTGCTATTTGTTTCTAAATAAAATTATGGAAAAATAAAAAAAAAGAAAAAGAGACAAAGTACGTTAATTGTTTTCTCCAAAGAAATATTTCAGAAAGTGATTGAAGGGCAATAGAGGCTGCTGAGAAATTATTTTTAAAGAATACGTTATTTGCGGATTTGTAACATTGACAGTTTCAAATATTTGTTAGTTATCCCAAACACTAATAATATTTACTAATCTGTCGTTTATTTGAGGCCCCAAAATGAATTTGATAGTACGGCAGGTTCAGAAGGAAATCATGAGACAGATGTGCTTGCCGTTTACTGTTGAGTATACAACAACAGCTTCCTTAAAATGATCGTGGTTTTTATGTGAAAAATGGGCCTAGAAAACCAAACCTGTTTACTAATGGTGATGATGATCATGCAGAGCCACTGTATGGAATTAATGGATCTTGGCAAAAAAATAAGATATTGTATTAGATTAGAGTCAAGTATCAGATTTAGACCGAGTATGGTTTTGCATACCGTAAGCTCAGCCCTCGAGAGGCACAACATCAGTGTGAGTGTAAGGCCAACCTGGGCTACAAAGTGAAGTCAAGACCAGCCTCAACTGCAGTATGAAACCCTGTCTGAAGAAGATTCTGCCCCCCCCCCCGCCCCCCAAAAAAGCATTAGTGGTGATGCAAATCTATGGGGAAAGCATGCTCAATAGAAAATACTAAAGATTTTAATTTTCAGAGACCGTAACCAAGCAAAAATGGCTTTTTTGTAGAAATTATAATCCATAGTGAAACTTCGCAGATTGAAGTAGCTAAGGTCCTATAAGATTTTTCTTTTGAGTGTGAAAGGTCCATTGTGGTTATCTAGATTTTTCCATCGTGAACTTTTCTATCTAGAACAAATAAAGTCCTCTTCGTGTACCTTTATTTTATATAACTTTTTTTGATTGTGGGTTTGCAATACTAGGAATCAAACCCAGGGCCTCATGCATACTGGGCAAGTATTCTACCACAGAGCTGTATCCTTAGACTTCAGGTAGTAATGTTGAGTTTTTT